TTTTTTTTTTTTTTTTTTTTTTTTTTTTTTTTTTTTGCATTTGGTGTTAAGAGAGAAAAAGAGCAGACGAAACCAAAATCAGTTACAGTCAAAAGAAGCGAAAAAAAGAATAAAACCTCTATCACCGTCGTCTTAAAGCTTGACATGCATTATGAAGTTTGTTCCAACAAACGTTATATTCAATTTTGTCATTTGGGATGTAACTAACAAGACATTAATCAGACATTGACAATTTGTAGACTGTTTAAATTAACATATAATGTATTAATCTAAGAAAGTAACATGCTATAATAAGTTACCATTGACTATACACTACAGTTATTAGTTGCTAATTTATGTGTAATTTTATTGATGTTTATGAGACTTTTTAAATTCATTGATATTTTAAGACTAACTAGATTTACTAGTAAAGTAATATAAATGGGCCAAGAGCCTTAATTTTTTATTGTACACATGACCGGTAATGTATTGAATCATACCAAATAGTAGTAAAAATAACACGATATAGTCAATTTTCGGACTGGTCGTTCAAAAATAGCTAGCATTTACCAAGTCAATAAAAAATAGTCACTATTTTGCTGTAATAGAGACCGGTCCAGCATAATATACTGGAGTTCAGTGCACCTGTGTATGAACTCCAGTATATTATGCTGGACCGATATACTTTGCTGGCTCAAGTATAATATACTGGAGACTGGAGCACCGGTGCTCCAAACTCCAATATATTATGCTGGACCGGTATACTTGCTGGAACTCCATTATATTATGCTGGAGTTCCAGCATACTTATCCTGGAACTCCAGTATAATATGCTGGAGTTCAAGTACACTTATGCTGGAACTCTAGCATAATATACTGGCGTATTTTTCGGGTTTTGAACACTGTTTTCGCTCAAATTTATTTTTACATGAAAAATGGCTAAATTTCGATTAATCTTGAAAATGGGTTATTTTTAAAGGACTAGTAGTAAATCTGATTATTTTTGAATTTCTCCCAAATAGTATGGTAAAATGCAAAACCAACAAATGCAAAACCAACAATTCATAGAGTGGTACACAGATACCACCCTAGTCAAGTAACGTCGTTAAATGTTAATCTAATCCAACGGTGAGTAAGCCACCGGACTTTCACAGTAGCCAAGGTAATAATTCCTCATTTTAAGCCTCCCCCCTTGCAAAATTTTACTCCAATTTCCAAAAGCCCAAAAATCCTTTGGCGCCAATTCGCCTCTCTTTTTTCCCCTCTTCCCTTCTCCCACTTCTTTCCAACAATCGGAAATGCAGCGGCAGAAATCTATGCTTTCCTTCCTCAAGAGACCTTCATCGGAGGACCAAAGCTCCGGCAATAACAAACTCAAACTTCCAAATCAAAATGCAGTCCCTCTTACCAAAAATATTCCGGACATTTTGGGAACTGAAACTCCTCCTGAGAAGCTGCCACGTCAGGTTCTCCCCTTCAACAGCGGCCATGATGGAAATAAGTCTTCTGCTTTCTCTTCTATTAGGCACAAGTTTATCAGAGAAAAACCACGCATTGATCGGTATCTCTTAATTTCGAGATGTTCTTATTTTTTTAATGAAATTTCATTGCTTACAATTTTAAATATCGGTATCTATTACTGCATGGTCTTATTCATACTTACTATACTGTAAATTGCACTTTATTACTATACTGTCAAAAATAAATTACGTTATTACTACTAACTTACTGCTATTCGGAACTTACATTTGATACTACTATAGTCCATTACCAATCCAGTTTATGTTAAAGGTGGTGTAGCTATGTTCAGTTGTTGCTCACTGCTCCGTTGCAATTTTGACCTGCTATGTTACAGTTGAAGGTGTTAGCACTAGTACAAAGTCTTAATTATTCCCTTTCTCTACTTTATTAGAGCTACTCTCTCTCACACATGGCTTTGTTTCCTACTATTTTGTAAATTGGCTTTTTCTTTTTAATTGATATAAGCCTTGTCAAAATTATGTGAATTTGCTGACTTGGTGTATTCCTTTTTGTTGCTCCTTTGCCATTGAAATAGAGGGTTTACATTTTAAACTATTATGTCCCATTAGCAACCATGTTTATGTTAAAGGTGGTGTGGTTAAGTTTTACTGTTCTATCTTTTTTAGGTGTCGCAATAAGCATGGTGTTAGAGTTTGGTTCTGTTTCTTTTCTTCTTGTGGGTGATCGAATGCTCACTGCTTCCTTGCTTATTTTGATGGCTATTTATTATGTACAGTTGAAATGTTAACCGCCTTTTGGTTATATTGTGTGCACAGAATATTCATACTGTCTTGCGACATGATGTGTGATATTAACTACTTTTTGATATTGTGTACAGGGATCTAGCGAAGAATGATTCTTTTGGGATCCCCTCTCTTTGTACAAAAAATGAAGGATCAGAAACACTGGGGAATCCTTCTGTTTCCTTGCGGTTAGGCTCTAATAGAAGTTCTGTTAGTTCTAATCGAAATAGTAATCAAGAGGGTAAAGGATCAGTATCTCTTATACAAGGTGATGATCATGGTTTTGGGCCGGAAACACCAAGTATGCAACCTTTTGTACCTGGGTTAAAAAGAGTCCAAGATGACATGCGTACCTCAGGGGATAGGAGTGATTGCTCTTCATTGAACACAAGCAAGAGGATTAAGAGTCTTGAGGGTTTGAATATTGGAAGGAAGAACCTTGAAGCAGAGTTTGAAATGACTAGCAAGTTTGAGTGGCTTCATCCATCTCAAATCAAGGATGCGAATGGTAGAATGGCAGGGGACTCACTCTATGACAAGCGGACACTGTTTATTCCTCCTGATGCGTTGAGAAAAATGTCTGCTTCTCAGAAGCAGTATTGGGATGTCAAATGCAAATACATGGACATTCTGCTTTTCTTTAAAGTGGTTAGTTCTACTTTACCATCTTGTATATTCTCCCTTCCAGCCGCTTTGTGTCATCAATTTACTGGAAAAAGTGACTNAAAATCCATGTTTTAGGTATCATGAATTTGGTAGTGACCACTTGATAATAATCTTTTAAGTTTGTTCTTCATGTAGAATCCACGGAAAGTAAACTTTTTTGAACTATTAGAACACAGAAGCCGTGGTTTTGTTTTTTCATTTTTTTTTCTAAAGTTTTGATCCAAACTCTAAATATTTGACTCACTGTATTCTTTGTAGAAGATCCATCTCAATTTACTCTAAGGTTAATTTTCTAACAAGATATTGCTAGATGGTATAGCTTCTAGGATTTTTCTAGGAAATGCAGATTGTTTTCTTGTTCTTTCTCTTGCTGTAATTTTATCCGTTAAGCATTGCTTTGTTTTCTTGGCTTTCAAGTTTCTCGATCTACAATTTTAGGTCTTCTCTTTTTCTGTAGGTTATATATATGTATCATACATTTCTCCAGGTCTCTGTTTACCTTGTAAAAAGAGTGACAGTATGAAATCTTATCGTGGAAAGAGTTCCTAATTTACTAAACTGTTGCCTCTTGCTGTTAGTTATCTGATGCACGTTTCTTTTTCCTCTGCGTTATTTGCTGCAGAAAAGTTACTTTACTATTTTGAAAATCTTTGTTTTCACATATTAAGAGTATTAACCATACTACTGAGATATCCTGATTTAAACTTTGAATACCATAAAATACCAGGTTTTTGGATAACACACTGCTTAAATGGAAGTTACAAGGTTTTCAGGGTCGTGCTATTAAGATTGGACAGATAATTTTCTTGCGATGTTGGTTTCTTAAATTTAAAGACATTAATTGCTGAAAATTTATTATTAGATGGTTAGCAACAGTGTTATGAAGAGCGTGAAGCCAGAAAAAGCGACAAGCCCCTTTTCGCTTAAAGCAAGAAGCGAGAAGCGAAGCGCCCGCTTTTTTGAAGTGAAGCGGAATTTATAAAAAAAATATTAAAATAAATAGTGCATAGACAACACATGTAACTGTAAGCAAATGTTCAATACTTCAATGTAAAAACTAAAAACTAAAGAGTAGTATCAATTAAAGCACAAAATGAGCATCCTATTCTTCTACAAGATTGTCAAATTCTTGTATTCCACTATCATTATTATATTGCTCATCATCTTCTTCAACTTCTTCTTCATCAACTAGGGACAAAGAAAAAATTGGGCAGCATTTCGCTGTAATTTATCACTGAAACAGTGAAAGAAAAAGAAGAAGAAGAAGAACTAAAGGGGAAAAAAAATTTGCCAGCATTTCGCTGCTATTTTGGGATTGAAACAGTGAAAGAAGAAGAAGAAGGAGGAGGCGGAAGCAGATATCACATACCTGGGCTTGACCTTGATGAACTTGAGGTTGAAAAGTGCAGAAAATGGAACCCTAGTCGCCTGTTGTTCTCTGTTGAAAAGTGCTGATCGATGGTCTTTTAAAAAAAGAGAGCGCCCTTAATATGTAGAAGCGCTCGCTTCTGTCGCTACTGTCGCTTTTACGCTTCTCGCTTTATTTTGCAGAAGCCATTGCTTTATTGAACCTGCTACCCTTCGCATCACAGACGCGCCCAAGGCCTCGCTTCGCGCTCGTTTTTAACAACACTGGTTAGCAATGACCTTACTATTGATAGGACCTATTGGAAAAAAGAGGCCTCACTATTGATAGCATAAGTAAATATTTGTTAGATGTTGTGGATTTTCCAGCCAATAATATGGGAGGATTACTTGTGAAAACCTTTGGGATACGCCTATTTGTTTGTCGTTGCTGGCTTAGACAATGCATGTTTGAATCGTTCTATACATTTTGCAATTCCTTTTGGAGAAGAACAAGGAATGAAATGAGTATTTGGAATGTAATCTGGATCTACTGCTAATAGTTAAAGGGCAATTTAGGTGAAGATACTTGGACAATAAGTGCTAGGATACCCTATATATGGTTAGACGTGAGGAAAAGAAAATATTTGCTTTCATTGAAGTTATGGTTTGTCTTTGTTTGATTTTCAATACTTCAGTAAATGTATTCTTTTATTTTCTTTCATTTCGAAAAAATCGTGCACAAGGCTTCTTATCTGATATAGTTTTCTCTAAAATATTAATGCTTTAAAAGGGAAAATTTTATGAGCTGTATGAGCTAGATGCTGAAATTGGTCACAAGGAGCTCGATTGGAAAATGACACAAAGTGGCGTGGGAAAATGTAGACAGGTATGCTATAAGTAAGTCACTTGGGATATCTGAAAAGGTAGTTTTGGTAATTTTCGGTCTAGTTTAATCTTCTGAATCTGATCCATAGACTTATTTTCTTGCTTTTCTGTCAGGTTGGCATATCTGAAAGTGGGATAGATGAAGCTGTTCAGAAGCTCCTAGCGCGAGGGTAAGAGTTAGAAGTCTCATTATTTCTTCCCATCTGTCCAAGCCATGGTGGATAGAGTTACTTGGAGGTAGCAAGATATAGTCGAGGTGTGCACAAGCTGGCCGAAACACCACGGTTATAAAAAAAGAGTTAGAAGTTTCATTTTCCAGATATGTATCTTTTATCAAGGAAACAGGCTAAAAGCTTTTGCTGCTGGCGATTTCCAATTTCCTACTTTCTAATGACTGTACGAGTTTATCAGTAATTGGAATTTCTGATTTGCTTCATCTTAATCATTTTTTAACAGTTCATTACTATGTCACCTTTTCTCTGCATGGCTTATGACTCATGTTAGTAGCAATTTGCAACTGACCACCTTGTTGGTAATACTTGTTTAGTATCTTATTAGGTATCTTTTCATTTATCTTGAGTTTATCTAACTACTTTGAAGGTACAAAGTAGGACGGATGGAACAGTTGGAAACATCCGAGCAAGCAAAATCTAGAGGCTCTACTTCTGTAAGTGCAGCATGAATTTTGTGAAAGCATGAAGGCATTGACTTAACCTAGTTCTTTAAAAACAGTTGTAATGCTTGCTTTCAAGTCGTTGAGTTAACCTAGTTCTTTAAAAACAGTTGTAATGCTTAGGGCTGTGTGAGGTTAGTGATGGTCCTTTAACTGTTCTAAATGTGATAATAAACAACATAAGATACATAGAAGCAATTAATGCTTTGAAAAATTCTGGATACATATATATAGTTTGGTTGAGCATTCATAAATTACCTAGTTCTTTAAAAATATTTGCAGCGCTTAGGGCTATGTGAGGTTAGTGATAGTCATTTAACTGTTATAAATGTGATAATAAAGCAACAGAAGATAAATAGAAGCAATTAATGCTTCGAAAAATTCTGGATGTATACATTTTTATGAATCTTTTTGTTGGGCACTCATAAATTTCTTCTGCATCTCTAAAATGAGCACTATCAACTCTTTGTTCATCATGGCATTGAGTGATTTGATGATGAGAATATTGGTTTCAGGTTATTCGCAGAAAACTAGTTCATGTACTCACTCCTTCTACCACAAGTGAGGGTAATATTGGGCCTGATGCAGTTCATCTTCTTGCAGTTAAGGAGGTTAGCAGCTTTTTATATAAATTGAGGCCATTGGCATGATACAGTTCTGTTAATTCTACATGCCAGTAGAGTTATCTATTATATGAGCAGAACAATGCTTCATGCAATCTTATGCTGCTTCTGTTCTCTCCCCAAATTTTTAAGAAAAAGCTTTAAAATTTTTAGTGTCCATATGGTCATCTTTGTGCTACAAAATGAGACTTCAAACTGAGGCAGAGGATTTATTGGCTTCTTGCACTGTTACATCTAGACTTGCAATGAGCAAGAGAATGGTTCAACCGCTTTTGGCTTTGCTTTTGTCGATTGTGCTGCTCTGAAAGTTTGGGTTGGTTCCATAAGTGATGATGCATCTTGTGCAGCTTTGGGGGCTTTGCTGATGCAAGTACGACACTTTAAGATCTAATATCTTTCTTTGAGTAACTTAATAGAAGATCTAGTATCTTTCTTTGAGTAACTTAACAAATATGCGATTCGTTTGCTTGATTATTTTATGTTGCTCTGTCGCATCTGTAGGTGTCACCGAAGGAAGTTATACACAATGCTAGGGGTAAAGCTTTTTTTAAATTAGACTTTGGAAGGATTATTTTTGTTCTTTGGAAATAAATATATTGAGTCTGACTTCCTCGTCTCGCACTTCTATTTTAACAGGTTTGTCAAAGGATGCTCAAAAAGCTCTGAAAAAATACTCATTAACAGGTGATATTTGCTTGTTTCTTAAATTGTTGCTTACTGTATCATGAAATGGCTGTGATTGTGATAATTCTCTCCTGATTATCCAAGGCATTATGTCCTGCCTTCATGTCACAAAGCTGTTTCTTTGTTCGGGCAGTTCAGTGTGAAAGCCTGGATCTTCATATTGTTCCATTTAACTTTTTCCCTGAAAGCCATGTATGGTGGTCTTTATTTGGCCATTATTTATAGTAAGTTGCGACAAATTCTCTAAAGAAGATGAGTTTTGCAAAATATTATAATTCTTAAGTGGTCATTAGTGGGACCTGCAGTATTGTTTTTTCTGTAGTTGGAATGAGATTAGTTAGCAGTGAGCAACTTTAATGCTATAACTAAGGTCTTGTATTGCCTATGAGATATGACCTGGTGGAGAGAAATTGAGAAAGGATAACTTTCTTAGTTTGTTTGAGAGACTGTCCACTTTTGTCAAGTTTTGCCGAGTGATATCATTGTGGGACATGTTGTCCTCTTTTCTAGAATTTATAGAGAGGAATAACATTAGACCTGCCCCCTTTCTTCACACACTGTTTCTTCTGACAGTAATTGTGATATATAGAAGATTAAAGGTTCTTTTCTGTTATCATCCGATTGTGTTTCATGGAAAGAAGATTCACGAGCCCAAAGGAATTATAACAGATTGTTGTTTCAATCATTTCCACCCAAAATGGTTGAAGATTTAAAGCCAATTGTCACCTTTTTTCTAGAAAATCCATAGACAAGAAATCACACTCTCGTCTTCGTGTACATTTCATTCTCTCGAGCTTATCTGCTCCTAAGTTGAACTAATCTATTCATTCTTCTTTGCAATTTCTTGTTTCTCTTCTTTCTTTAACTTGCACATTTTAGGGGAATTTGCTAGCTGAGAGTAGCTCATCATCCAATTTCTCTATCAATAGTTTCAGCTGCTTTAAAGTTTTACCCCTTTTGCTTTTCTTGAGATAAATAACAATATTACAAGCCCTGGTAGTGTTCAACGAGAAGAAAAGTTGCTAAGAAGGCCCAAATTGATCCTTATCAAAAAAACAAAAGAAGGCCCAATTTGGTACTGTTGTGATAAGGTTTGTATAGTGCATGCAGTATTATTCCAAGCCTCCGCTGTCATAGTTAATACTTAAAATTAAAATACACCACTGTCATGATCACAAATCCAGGTCTTCAGTAAGTCGTCTATCTTAGGATGTACATGCTTCTTGGACAGCATCATTGGCACACGCAAGTTGCAGCTAGTCTATCTTATGGTTCTCAATGTGCACTAATCTTGAATGTTCATCCATTTCCATCTGATTAAAGCATGTTTTATAATGGGAAGCATGTTTTATAATGGGCCCATGTTTTCTTTTTGTTTCATATTAAATATATAAATGTCACAAAGGACATGCATAAAGGGGCAGTCACTAGTAGGAGATACAAAGGAGTTTTTCCATAACTGTGGGTTTACACCCGGGATCAGCATTGAGCCTCTACTTGTTTAACCTAGTTGTTGAATAGCTAACCACACAATACAAGATGAGATCCCATGGTATACTATTCGCTAATGATAATGTGCTAATTGACGAAAACGACAAGGGTGTCAACCGAAAGCTTGAACTATAGAGAAGTGAACTAGTGAGTAAGGGTTTTAGGATAAGTAGAAGTAAGACTGAATATATGCGCTGCAAGTTTAGTCAGCACAAGAAGAGTGAAGTTGTTGTGAGATTAGACGGGATTGTGATTCATAAACGTAAACTATTCAGATACTACATTTGTTTTTCCAGCCTCCGGGAGAATTTGAATGATATATGAAGATGTTACACATAGAACCAAAATTGGATGGTTGAAATAGAAATGGATGGAGCTGTCACTTTCTTAGATCTCTTGATGAGTATCCTTTGTCCAATTAGGTCCTGCAGTGCCACTCCTGTCCCCAGTCCAGCCAGGTGCTGATTTTGTTGATCCTGCAGAAGTGAAAAATTTCCTTGACTTGAAAGGTTACTTTAAAGGATCTTGTAATAAGTGGGACCACACCTTTGATGGAGTAACGAGCCATGATGTTGCTTTATGTGCTCTTGGGAGTCTTGTCAATCATTTAGAGCGATTGATGGTAAGTCTCAGAACCGTGACCTATCTTCTGTATGCAATATTTAATGGTATTATTTTGGTGATTGTTTCATTCTGTCATTAACAGTTAGATGAGGTCTTACGTAATGGCGATATTCTATCATATGAAGTCTATAGGGGTTGCCTCAAAATGGATGGACAAACACTTGTCAATCTTGAGATCTTCAACAATAATGCTGATGGGAGTCCATCAGGCAAGTACAATATTTTTGTCAAATCAAGCTTTGTACTCATTCTAAGGGGCAATTGTGTCACTTATATTTTCTTCTATTCTAACTGTGAGTGATTATTATTGTTTTCAGGTACTTTATACAAGTATCTTGACAATTGTGTTACTTCACCTGGGAAGCGGCTTTTGAGAAATTGGGTTTGTCATCCCCTCAAAGATGTGGAGAAAATCAACCATAGGCTTGATGTGATTGACAGACTTGTTGAAAATTCAGAGGCTACATTATCCGCTGCTCAATATCTTCGCAAGCTTCCAGATTTGGATAGGTTGTTTGGACGGGTTAAGGCTAGCATTCAATCTTCTGAAGCACTCCTACTGCCCTTGATTGGTGCCAAAATATTGAAGCAGCGAGTAAGTCCTGTTTGACATCTCAATTTGGTTTGCTTAGTCTTGGTGCAGTTATGTGCCAAAAGATGCTCTCACTACCTGAATTACTAGTTTGTGTGGTTACACCACAATAGTTCAATCTGCTTCCAGTAAGAAAGACTAGCCAATATAGTAGCTGAGCATCTATTTCCATTTTCACACCTTTTTTACTTACCAGACGAATAATAGACTATCTCGTTATTGCGCATTGGATGACATTGTGTGTCATTTTCACACCTTTCCTACTTCCTAGACAAATGAGCTATACGCAGAATAGTTATTGATTGTTCTATTCAGATGGTAGTTTCCGGTTAAATTTTATTTCAAGGGGTTGTTTGTTACTCTGATGGTTGTTTATTACTCTGATGGTTGTTTGTCCAAGAACCACTATTCTAAATCATCAATCAACAATGCGTTAATTCCAGACTAGCTTAGTCAGCCGTATGGATTCTCTATATTCATTCGCTCTTTTTTGATCCCATTTCATGGAAAAAATAAATAAGTCATTTCTTAAGATAAAATTGCGGGTTCCACAAAACTAGAGGTTCTCTAGATCTCCCAATTATTCTTGCATTGACGCACAAGTCTTTGACTATACCGAAAAGAATCTTGGCAAACACATGACCTAAGTTAACAACAATGATTATCCTTTGTTTATATCGTGTTGAGTTCTTAGCTAAGTCTGCAGTCATTCTGAGAGACTGTAGGTCAACAACAACAACGAACCCAGTGTAATCCCATAAATGGGGTCTGGGGAGGGTAGTGTGTACGCAGACCTTACCCCTACCTTATAAAGATAGAGAGGCTGTTTCCGATAGACCCTCGGCTCTGAGAGACTGTAGGTCCTTTGTGACAATTTTCGTTCATGTGTATTTAGGTCTGCCTCGTCTACATTTACATCTTCAATCATGATAGTGTTGCACCTATAGACTGTCATATTTGGAGGTCATCATGACACAGTCAAACCTCTCATTTTATCCTCTTTATGCTCTACTTACACCCTCTATCAGATATATTCTATTTTTTTATCTTGTCCAATATTGTGTTGACCATGCATTAACTTTAACATTCACATTTCTGTGACACTTTGTACATGTGTTGGACCTTAGAGGCCCAACGTTCCCTCCTATATGATATTGTCATCTCATAATTGTAGTATAGTTGTGCTTTTGCTTTATTAGGTATCTTCTTTTCCTGTTCCTGCTGTGCACTTTTACAGCTCTCCTTGATTTCAGCTGTCGTAATTTAGATCAATGTGATGTCTCATCTATCATGCCATTCTCCTGAAAAACTGAGCCTTCATATAATTTGTCTGCATTTGGGCACCACTGTTTCACCCTCATTTTTCCTATAGGGGTAAAAATTGCTCTCTGTGTGTGTGTATGTATATATATATATATAAAATCCATTACTTATACTTATTTTAAACCTCTTACTCTCTAGAGGGCTTCAGGTTGAGCTTTTGGCTGACTCCTTGTGTCTCTCACTAGCTTCTTCAATTTAAAACAATATTATGTGCAAATAACACGAAATATGGACCTTCATCCTGTATATTATTTTATCGGTTAGAATCCATAATTAATTTACAACTAGTAGGGGCTCAACGGGTAACTTCTCTATATCCTTCCAGTTTTCCCACTCTTCTACCTACTCTTAGTTGCATATCCTTTATGGTGTTTATATGTTTGATAATTTCTTTGTATCCAAGCATCCACCAAATGACTTTTCTTGGCACTTTTCCTGGTTCAATGGATATCCTTTTTCCTCCACCTACAGATTTCCATAGATCTTCTTAGCTAAGGTAGGAGGCAATTTTGTTGTTACCTTTAAAAATTCTCAAATTTATTCATTTGCTCCAACTGCTAATTTCTTTGGTCTAGCCGTGCTTTACCTCAAATTATCCAAATCATCTTATGCCCCATTTATTTTCATGCTGTGGGCATATTTTCTTTCCTGACTATTATAATGAAAGTGTTTCCTAAATGACCTTTTGGTACTTGAAACTGGAAAAAGTTCATAATCCTATTAAATGTCCTACCACAGCCGTGGGTGGTAATATATAATGACAAAATTATTGACTACAGCAAGTGTCTTCATTTTCACTTCTACTTTTTCTTCTTCTTGCTCTACATTCGTAAGCTAATAATGAAGTTGCTCTAACTATTTCTTCTTTGAGCATTACCTGAGTTTTTTTTGCAAGCCCAATGATGTAGGTAGGTATCTAATTGCTTACTTCTCTTTTTAATGTTGGAAATCCAAAAATTCATATGCTTCTTTACAACGACTATTTATTTATGTTGGACGTGCTTTTGCACGACTCATTTCATAGTACTTTTGTTCTCCATGAAGAATTTTCTGGTTCAGCCCATGGGAATGACCTTTCAGCTCTATTGATGTAGTATATAACCTCTGTTTCACTCAAGGTTTTCTTCTTATTACTACAGGTTAAAGTGTTTGGGTTGCTTGTTAAAGGGCTACGGATTGGGCTAGATTTGTTAAGGTTGTTGCAGAAGGAACATCTGACCTCTTCCTTGGCTAAAGTGGTATCCTTGCCTGTTCTAGATGGTGACGATGGGCTTGATAAGTTCCTCGGCCAATTTGAAGCGGCAATCAAGAGTGACTTCCCCAATTTTCAGGTTTGTGATACAAGATTCTTTTGGCTCTTTTCTTGTCAAGATTGTTTTGGACCATTATATTCGACCTCTTTAATATTCAAATTGATGGGAGTGTGCTCGTTATTTTTTCATCTATATTTTCATCTTTTTAAAGTATCAGAGAAATCCCCTGCAGGCTTCTGGTCCGACTCTAGTTGGCGTACAGGTTCAACACTCACGGGGAGTATGGGCCGCCCTTACCCTCTTAAAAAAAGAAAAAAGAAAAAAGAAAAAAGGAAAAAGAGAAGAATGTGCTTGCTAGTTGATTGTCTAATCATGTGTGTTAGAGTCTGGCCATTAATCCAGTCACAGTTTTCCTAAATCTGCATTTTCAAGTTTTTCCGATTGTGCTTGAAGGAACTGTTACATTGGCAGTCCTTTATTGTTTGGAAAGAATCAGGTGTTTGAGGACTTAGGGAAACATAGTGTAAGATTGACCCTTATATCTGCTTTTACTCAGTAGTTCCCAACTTTATTTCTTGTTTTCTATAATCAAATAGTTTGTGCTTGATTTTTAAATCGTTTCTTGATTGGAAACATGTTATGGACTCGTTAGGTTCTCTTTAGGGTGTACATATAACAGTGCTGCTTTGATGTAAACACATCATTTTGGTACTGTAAACAACTGCTTCCTTTCCCCACAGCTGGACACAACCTCTACATCCCCCTCCCCCTCCCTTCCCTNCCCCCTCCCCGCTTCCAAAAGAGAAAAAAGAAGTAACAAGTTTACCTATCAGGTCATCGATGCAGCTACCTCATTCATCCCTGTGTCATGATCTCGTACTTCAGTTTGATGCTTAGCAATAGTTGTATGCATTATAAACCTAATTATACTAACGGTTTCAGTATGTCCCTTTGTGAACCTTCTGTTTTACTAAACCTCATCTCATCCTGCAGAGGGCTGTGTCAGTAATTCCTTTTTCCTGTGCTGTGACAGGATCATAATGCTACTGATTTTGATGCTGAAACACTATCCATTTTGATGGAGTTATTTGTTGAGAAGGCTACTGAGTGGTCTCAAGTCATTTATGCCATAAGTTGTGTTGAT